GCCAAAAACCTACCTGACGTTACGCGAGTTTCTACTGCCGTTAGCGACAGACTCGCCGGGAGAGACGTCAACAGTATTCTGGAATGTGAAGGTCAGGTTTGGATAGAACTTTGCAGACTATGTGGGTGTTAGACCTAGAGTTGATTACCGTTTAAAGAAGAATTGGCTAGAAAGTTACCCAGACGTTAGAATTATTGGAATAGAAGAGCAGAAGAGTGCTGGTTTAGATGTCAATAATATTAGAATGTATAATGATAGTGAAATAGATTATTGGCTGGTTATTAGTTGAAGATGGTTGTATTATTAGCTAGGGAGTGTGCGTAGATATGGGAATAAGAATTGAAATCAGTTCATCAACATTATTGAAGAGTTCATGGTAGCTATTATATTTTATGATCCAGGTTGATTTAAGTTCACTGAGATACTTGCTCTTAAGGCAAGGTTGTATTGGGCAAGAACAAGTAGTAATGTGTTTGTTGCCTAGAGCAAGAACGTAGTGTCTCATGGTAAGTGAGGGTCAAATTATGGCATTGCGTCTCACTTTAATAAAGCTTAAATGATTATTTTCCAGAAAGCTCATGAATCTGGGACTTGGATTTAATAGGGGTGAAGTGTCACCAATAAGTGGTGGTAATATGTTTGTTAGACTAGTAAACCATCGAGATATGGGGCCTTTGGTAATAAAGCTCTTGTGAGTGTAGAGTTCTTGCCAAGTAAGTTTAAAGGCTCATTAAAAACAAGTATGTTGGAAAGGATTTTGATATTAAAAAAAAAGAGAGACAGAGCTGTTTTTTTACTGATTTTTGTGAACTGACTAATTGAGACTTTGAGGTTGGCATGTTGAATGGACATGGATTTGGGCAGACATTAATATGGTATTTGATGGCAATTTTGGCTGTTTGCATTAGCCATAAGTTTTTGAATAACTGTGAGAAGCAAATGGGACATGACCAAATGGCATGTGCAGCTTGTATTGATACGATTTCACATTTGGTAGACTGAAAAATTGCTGGATTGGCAAGCCTTATAACCAAGATCTAAGTCTGTTTTGAAGTGGATAATCTTGTTAAAAATTGCTTGCTCAATACCAAGCTTTGATTTTGTTGCTTTGTTAAGTTTTGCTTGAAGAAAGTTTATTTCATTGTTTGTTGCCAAGAAGATATGCATGGCATACTCCAGTTGTGCAGAAATAATCCAGTGAGATACTTGTTTAATGATTTGCCTGTTTCATGATTTTTGAGTTGCTATAGCCAATGTGAAGTTTTTAATTTTTTCGATAAGAGCTTTTCGTGTTGTTCAGTTGGAGGAATTTCCTGAGAGAAAAATGTCAAGATATTTGATGGCTTTGTTATATAAATTGGCATAAATTGGTTTATTTTCAACTAGTAGAGAGTTCTGTCTGCTTGGGTGTGAAGGTTTAAGGTTGGTTATAAGGTCTGTTTTTTTCTTATTATACTTGATGTTGTTTAACTCAAGAAAGGAGCAGAATAGATCTGTAGCTCTTTGCAAGTTTGTAAGGAGCTGCTTGAGGTAGCAGCATCATTTATATATGTGAGAATTTGAGCTTTATCAAACAGTCGTTTTGTTATTTTGGATATCATGGGGTCATAGAAAATGATTCAAAATAAGGTGCCAGGGTTTCTCCTTGGTCCAGACCATTATTTAATATTAATGGGTTGGAAAGTTTGTAGTATGTTATAAAGCTTAGTTTACAGTTGTGAAGAAGGTTTAAAATGAATGTAATTATTTGTGAAGGAAGCTTGATTCGTTTCATGGCTGCTTCCAAACTATTAAGGTTTACAAAGTTGAAAGCTTTAGAGATGTCAAAGGAGGCGATTCAGTGTTCTATATTGGGATTGCTTGCAGTTTCAAGTTCAGATAAAATTATAACTAGGGATTTCATGGTACTTTAATTTTTGAGACCTGCAAAGAAGTTTTCTGATAGAATTTTGTTTTTGCAAATGATTTCAAACAGCCTGATATTAATGATTTTGGTAAAAATTTTCCTATTAGTTTCGATTAGAAAGATCAGTCAGATATCTGCTAGTTTATGAGATCAGACTATTTTTTTTGGCAGGAGAGTGACAATTGAGTGTTTCCAGTGAATGGGAGGATTGCCAGAGTTTATAATTAAGTTGAAAAGTTTTTTAATATGCATTTTTGCAGATGAGCCTAGATTCAACCAAAGCTCATAAAAGATTGTTGTAAGGCCAGGTAACTTTCTTTTGGGAAGATTAGTAAGTGCACTATTAATTTCATCCAATGTGATTTCTGTTGTTGCTTTGTCGAAGATACTGAAAAAAATAAAATCCCTGGAACATATTCAGGTAATCACTGCTGGTCAAGGCTGAAAAGCTTGCTGCGCAAGATGTTTTTGAAGTGGTTGATAATAATTTCATTGAACTTATCAGCATCATCATGGAGTTTATTTCTATTCAACAGGATAAAAAGATTTAGAGATGGTTTTAGATCCCTTAAGACTTTTTTGATTGTTGCTTTAGGTTTCTCCCAAAATTTGTGAAAATTTTTTTCAATGCGATATCGGATCTCATCAATTGCGAGCTGCCTTGCTTTTTCCATTTTTTCATCCAAAAGAACTTTGATAACTTTTCTAAGGGTTTTAATGAATAGTGGCTGGCTGGCAAGGTCTCTAAGGATAATTGATCCCATTTGTGAAAGCTTGTGAGGTATTCTATTGTTGTGAATCTGTTTTATTGCTTTTTTTGCTGCTCTGATATTGTTGTCATATTGGGAGAATACCTTGGCCAATGATGTAAGTACCCTTTGTTGCTTAGAGAAAATATTGTTGCTTATGGTCATTTTAAAAATTAAGTTAATTTCATTTCATGAAAGGTTGTTTGCCCGGTGCAGGCAAGTTTAATAGACTCTTGCATAGCTTATAGTTATTTTTTAGTTGCTTTGTCAAATTGATAGGTTTTGATGGCAAAAGAGATATGATCATGTCTATATTCAAACCAGTCAAGCACAGTGGTGATTATTTTGTGATCTGTAGAGATAAATAATTGATCAGACACTTTATAACTCAACACTTAGCTTACTAGGTTTACAGAAATCCAGATTTGGTCCAGCCTTAATATGCTAAAGTTTGTGATGTATGTATATTGACACTCCTTGTTAGTAACTTTGATGATATTGATTAAACTTTCTATAAGCTTGTAGACCTGTTGCTTGTGAAGCATAATCGGAACATTAATAGATAAGTGTCTTTTGAATAAGAATTAAAATCTCTGGTGATAATGAGATGTTTGTTTTTGTGGTTGGTGAGGAAGTTTTTGAGAAACATTACTACTATACGGTGGTCTGCTCTGTCATGAGAAGATATATTGCAATTATGGTGATGTTGGCCTTGGACTTAAATTTTAGATGGATTGTATACCAGTATTCATTTTTGGTATATGTTTTGAAGATGTAGAATACTATATTTGAAGAGAATATAAGGCATGTGCCATTACTGACTGAGGAACTGGGTTTGCTTGCTATTATGACTTTGTCTTCTATTCTATTTGGCAATTGGTGGTTTGATAAGATTTTTGTTTCGGTATAGTAGAAAATTGCTCTTTTGTTTTTAATAGCACAGATGATTTTGTTTAGCTTGCCTTTTTGGTTGAGGCCTCTAACATTGAATGTTGTGATTATAAGAAGGTTTTTGATA